ATTTCATTTGACATCTGCAATTATTTGACTAATTTTATTCTTATGACATCTTGTTCATCCAACAATATAAATACCTCTCTCATGTTCAAATACAATGCAAACTGAAATGTTTATAATCCATCCTGATGCTAAAGGGTGAACTTAGTAGTTATCATATTCACTATAAGTTATTAACTTTTCATAAAATTCGTCGAGTACATTTAGTGCTTAACACATAGTTGATCACTTAAAACAAACAATCATTATAGGTACCTTTCTTGTAACATAAGTATATACAAACTTAGAAAATGTTTGGCTTAAGGCTGCGTTCAGGTTACCAACATTAGCAAATATATCAGTTTAGTGTTGATGATTTATGAGAAAATTATCATATGTTTAAATCATTCTTGATTAAAATAAAATGATTCATTATTTTTTAATGCGAATAAAACTAGATTGATCTTTCGTGTTTTCTAGGAAATCTTGATATTATGAAAAGATGTTGGCAGAACACAAATAATAATGAAGTAGTTCTTTAACATCTGAAATTACTCGGGTTGGTTGTCATCAAAATGTAACATGTTCGCAGATATAAGTTACTAAAATGCAATGAACATCCATAAATATTTCTTGGTCAAGAACATATTAAATTATTATTACAAGCAAAAGTGGATAGTGGCTAGCTGTGGAATCCAAGATGCGCGTTTTTCCTATTTGGGACTCGTCAGCTGGATATACTTGCATCTCAGAGTTGGTGTTCACTCCGGGACTCGAACCTAACACCATTTGCTTCAAACGCCATCGCGTTATCCACTTAGCTACTGAGTCCTTAGATCATTATTAAATAATTTTTTGATATAAACAGTAAAAGTTATATGTTTGATATATGTAATCCTTAGTTTTATATGTAAAATATGGGATGCGTGCATGAGCTTAATAATCAATGAAGTATGGCACTGAATTTCATAATAATGCTACGCTAGATAAAAACTGTTTATATTAAAATGATACATACTTCACATATATAATGATTTGGGGTAATGATAAGCGAAAAGTAAGTTCGAAGTGTATAAAACTGATATCTGTTGGCACACATATATTGAATGACAACAGTAATACACTTAATCTTAATTCAAAATGTTTAGTCAGTTATGATAACTTTACTTACAAGAAAGTGTGGTTTCATACAGTATCTTTTAAGTACACTTGTTGAGGTAGAAAAACCTAGTAACATGATGTTTCTAATTCAAGAAATAAGCACTGGTCTCGTAATGATCAAATGTATTAAAAAAAACTAGTTTTTCACCAATGTCACTAATTTTACGTGTAATCAAAGTCGCAGCTATTACCTAATGAAGAAGAAAATAACTTAATGGACTTATAAAACTCTCACCATTTGAATAATTTATATTTCTTCCAATTCAGTACACGATTTGGTAACGTTTAATTTTTAGAAATAAATAAATTATACTGTGCAGTTTTAATCAAATCATGTCACCAAATTTATATAAAAAGTTGCATAATTGACTTGGTATTATTTGCTTGTATCTTCCCATTGTTGTTTAGATCTGCAATTGATCAGTCTCTTGTTAGCATATGTGTATCCTCGATATTACCTTAAGTCATAAGCATTATAAACACAGATAGATGATGGATAACGGTGGAATCCAAAACACGCATTTCGCCCTATTTGGAGCTGTTCAGCTGAATGTACATGGACTAAAAATAATGAGAAAACATTTCTGAATAAATTATTTGTCACTTGTCATTACGACTTAATAATAACTTATCATATATATTTCAAAAACCTAACAGAACTTTGTCGATATACTTTTCTCATCGAAAATTGTATTTACTTTTCAAATCAACCATTAACAATCAATTTACAAACTATGTCTAAAAGCATAGTTTAAAATCAAACAAAAGGAATTCAATCATTTTTGATTAAACATGAAAAATTGTTTGTACTAGGGTAGCAGCTTCGATGTCTTTAACGTATAGGCGCTCATGAAGCAGATCAACCAATCAGATACAGATAATCCAATTGTTTGATCTGAGTTTGTACTGAATATTTGAAAAAAATTAGAACTGAATGCATAAACTGTTTCTTATCGTCGTTTTATTGCGCATACATCAATAAATTTATAATCCATAATAAACTATTATAACAGGTAACAAAGTCAATCAGTTCACCATGTTCAAATGTATTTGCCTTAATTCTTTTCTTAAAATTGAATAATTCTAAATTCGTTCTGTTTCTTATTATTCAATTTAAATAAACACATTTGGTTGTTTTTTTTTTCAGACAAGTAATTCATTTGATTAGTTATTCACAGTAAGTGATCAGTGATTAGTGGGAAATATATAATGTTTGTCCAGTCCTTGGTTTGGATCAAATTCTGTCGGTCAGGTAGTAGTGTGATCAGTAACTTGATTGAGTTGAAGTCGTTTGTACTATATTTTGGTGTCAGGTGATTGTATATAGTGAGCACAAAACTTGGGAGTAAGCTCCATTCTAGTTAGCACTCGTTTAAAAAATGGACCTGAAATACTGGAGAAGCTTATGTTCTCAATGCCATTCGACCACACCTCGTATCGTTATACAGTCTGAAAAGCTATGGTTTAGATATTTGGGTAGCAAATAAAACGAATACGATATTGGTTACTAATTAGTAACTGTAAATATCTCAAACCTACGGGAGATCAGTCGTAGACCAAATGGCTCAGTGGTAACATCATGAACTGTGAAACTAAGTGACTCGGGATTAATATAAAAGCTACACCTACTAACGAGTGCCAACTAACGGGGAATCTGAGCTCATGATTTTCCTTCAATTATATAGCATCAGTTTGTTTGGTTTCATGGTTTACATACAGAATTAATCAAGACATAAATAGTATCATCAATAAGTTGAATTAGCCCAATAAAGCTTATTTCAGTATCGATATTCAATCACTTGTTTTTGTAAATGTAAATGACAGTGTCCTCTATCTCTAAAATCAATAGAACTCTCACTTGTCACTAGGAATACTATTAATTTGAAGTTCTATGCAAGAGGCTCATTATTGAAGATCAATAATTCCAACTTTGTAGTGAAACGACAATCCGGAAGAATGCATGACAAAAACAAAAAAGATATGCCCTTTCTAATAACTAAGTTATTACGGTCATGTAAACTTGATGATTCGAATGTCAAATCCAGTACAATCGGAATCTCAGTAGTGACCTAAGAACCTAAGAAAAAACCAAATAAGAAATTTTTTCTTCCAATAGATAATTCACAACTATAACATTTTGAACTGAAAACAGAAAAAGTGGTTTTTAATAGTTTATCTTTGATTCATGAATTTCAAATTATGTTTAAAAAGTGCGCAAGCACATAATTTCATACATATATATGCATGTTTCAAACTGTTTATAACAGTTTGCAAATTGTAGCGAGATTTAAAACAGTTGATAAAGGAGCACAGTAGGGGCATTAGTAGTAAATAATTTGTGAGGAAAATTACTCTCAGTCACCCTTTTTGTATTTGCTGATGCCATTCCCTTCTTATATAAGTTTCCTTACTGAGTAGTAACCTTCGTAATTTACACGACATTATGACAACTGTGTTAAAATAATATCTCTCCAATGTTGTATTTCACTTTTATGATTTCACTCTTTTGGTAACTATGTTCTACCCTACAGAATATTTCATAAATTTTTCTTTTACTACTTTTTTCCTTAATGAACACACACTTTATAAGGATCCAAACGTAATCGCCGTGAAAAATATTTGTGACATTAACTAAGGTGATTAAATAAAACAGTTTTTGATGTATGAAGCATCTGCGACTTCAAAGCCGAAATCTTGAAGATATATATATATATATATATATATATATATATAATCCCTTGTTTTTGAACATTACTTGCTTACTTAAACCTATTACCTCTCGTGAAGGAGCATAGACCGTCCATCAACATTCTGTTCATATCTGCTTACAATTCTCTATGCAGTGTGCTATTTGGCCTTCTTCATTTTCGTTTTCTTTCAGGATTACAAGTTAGCGCACGGTTCGCGATGAAATATGATAATTTCCTCAATGTATGTCCTATCCAATTACATCGTCTTTTCTTGATTTCCTCTTTAGATAGAAATTGGTCAACGGATCTGGACTATCTTGTGTAGACAATTGTTTATAAATACTTGTACTTTTTAATAATGCTTGTAGTAGTTCCCCACGTTTCAGCTCCATACATTAGAACTGTCTTGACGTTCGTATTGAAGATTCAGATTTTTATATTGGCTGACAGATATTTTGAGTTCGAAATGTTCTTCAGTTGTAGGAATGCTGCTCTTGCTTTTCCAATTTCTACCTTAACGTCTCCATCTGATACTGCTTGTACGTGAAACTTCCCATCTCTTTCAAGGCTTCTGCATCAAGTGTGATTGCGTGGGTGTTCTCCGTGTTGTATTTGAGGACCTTGCTTTTCCTCTTGTGCATGTTGAGGTCTACTGATGTATAGGCTGGTGCTACAATGGTTGACTTGACTTGCATTTACTCGTGTATATAATATAGAAGGGCTAGGTCATTTGCAAAGTCCAAATCGTCTAGTTGCATCTAAGCTTTTCATTTTATTCCCTTCTTACTGCCAGATGTCGAGGTCCTTATAACCCAACCAGCCAGATGATGTTGACGATTTTCTCAGGTACACCTTAGTATCGCAATAGGTTCCACAAGGTTGTCCGATCCATACTGTCAAATGCTTTCTCATAGTCAATGAAGTTAGAGTATGGTCACGAGTTCCATTCAACTGATTGCTCAACGATGTTCTGTACTGTCGCGATCTGGACTGTGCACGGCTAATGTTTTTGAACATATTTACTTGATTTACTTGATTAATTAACAATACTTTAATATTCCAATTTTTTCATTGGTAGAAAATTATAAATATGGCTATCGACGAATCAGATTAACTCATTTTTATCTAACTGTCAACAATTGAACATGATTATTCAATTAATAGTGAAACAAAGGAAAATAATGATCATATCCGTTATAAATAGGTGTTTCAGTCGTTAGTGAATTACAAATAATAAGTTACATAGACCCTATATAGTTAAAACAGATAAATTTACTACCCAGTTAGCAACTACATATCATAATAAAAACACTATTGAAATCCTAAAAAAAATATCCATCCATAAAAAATTATTAGTACACGAAATTCATCATTATTAAACAATTGTAGTTAGCTCCATTTTTTTTCTGAGATTTTGTGAAATAACTATGTTTTTCAGTATAGCTATTTTAAAGATTATTCTAATGACAATGTATTTCAATTATCTGTTCGCATACAGAACAACAACAGGCGACGAAGAAATGAAGCATTATTCTCAAGATGCACGTAAGTTTTACTTTTATGAAACTAATAATTTAACAACATAAAGGTCATTAACTTTATCTTTTTTTACATATCACAATGTTATTAGTAGCTATCAGAACTCATTAGCTAAGTGGATAACGAAATGGCATTTGAAGCGAACGTTACTGAATTCGAGTCCCCAGTGAAAGTTAACTGTGGGATACAGGTACATCCATCTGACGAGCCCCAAATAGAACAAAACGCGCGTCTTGGATTTCACTGTTAGACGCTATCCATCTTCGCTTATAATGAATGCGATTTAAGGCAATATCAAGATGATTCATACATGATGCACATATATGATTTCTTTAACAAAACTTTTTTGATTTATTCCGAATAAAAAAACTAGAATTTTCATTACAATAGTCATAAATTATGTTAACCATATTTTAGTTTGCACCATTAACATAAATTTTATGCGGTTAGTTTAGTTCACTTTTAAGAAATATATAGTTTGCTTAAAGAAAAGTTAAAGTCAATTTCCGTTTCATTATTGATGATAACAGTTATAGAAATATTGAAAAATGAGAGTACTGGACAACTGTCCAATCGTAAAATAAAACTTCTATGTCCATTGATGTCATTATGATATTGGCGGAGATAAAAGACAAAACTTTCGGATTGCACAGAAAACATTAGTTTTATACGATATTTTTAATGAGAAAGTGCGAACAGTTATCTTTTAATAACATTGAATAATAAAACACTACTGTTACTTAATTCTGATTCATTGATGTGAATGTGATAGTTTTATCGTGTGACCTGGGACACAAATGAAGATAAAAAAATATCACTTCAATGTTTCATCTCATTTTCAGAAGTTCTTTAGTTGATATTAATCTTTAGAAAAAAAAAGAATTGAAACAAAGAAAGGTTTTCCATAAGCTCTCCCACCAAATAATAGTTAGTTCATCTTGTTCTTATTACATACATTTATCATACTTTTGGGAATTTCTTCTTCATGAACCTTTCTGTTCACTAAAAAAAAGGAAAACATTGATAATACGAAGTTTTAAAGTAATTACAATGAAATACTAATAAAATCGCCTTCAATAACTGACTTTTCTAGAGTGTTTCTTTACATTAGAAGACCTTGCAAAATGTTATATTCAATTGAAACATACTTCATAATCAAACCATATCAAACAGTCAATATCAAATAATTTATAAATAAATAAATAAGTGATCTCGCTTTTTATTTAAAAAAAATAATGAAAATATTAAGAATAAGTGTTTAATATGATTTACTAAAGATGAAGGATTGATTGCAGTATGCTCCTTCAGCTCTTCCATTATGGTTCCTAAAATACTGTGATTCCTATGGCGTATGATATCATATTATTCAGTGCTTCCAACAGTTAGTTAATGAAATACCATTTTCAAATTACTGATAATAATATCTAATGTCTAGCACTTCACGTTGAAAAATATAACACTCCATTGACTCTATATTCTAAATCCATACAAATGAGGATCGGTAACGTTTAATAATTTTTTTTTAAAATGCACTCAAACCTTACTTTGTTTAAATAAGCTTTGAATTGAAAATACGGAATAATCCCCAAGACATCTTGAGAAAGCTCTATGATGTACCTAACAATAATTCTGAACAGACAAATGTAAAGAGTACGGAATTTTAACAGTGTTTCATACTGTTTGTTTTTATTCAGGCAGGAATATTTTTTCCTAAAATTAAGCCGATTGTCTTTCCAAATAAACTATTTGAATCATGTATCATGGAATAAATTGATTGGATTAATATGTTTTCTGAAAATTCAATTTAAATTGCTACAATCAGACCTTAACTATTTATCATTCAGTGATTATTTAGTAGTGAAGCGTGTACATACCATACTTTCATTATATTAGTCAGTTTAATTCTGAAGCTAGTTGACAAACAATCAACTTTTTAAAAGGTTTTCGCAGTTCCGTAGTTTGGCATTTTTAGCTTACTGGTAAAACTAAATACTAGTCATTTTCTAAACCTCTGATTATTATTTTAAATTTTGGTTTCGATAAATAAATCTTGTTTACCCGATGGTAGTTATTCAACTAAAAATCTAAGACTATGTTCTAATGAAACTTCAGGTGATATACCTATTTCAACAGTGTCAATTTATGGTAATGTTTCCAATTTAAACTACCTACATTTTAAAAATAATTAGTAGTAAAAGAAAAATTATTCCTTCAAACAAGTTATACTTTATTCATTCAGATTTGTTTTCCATTTTAATCACTCGATTAATATCATGATATGGTAAATTTTATCAAACCTATCACTTTACATCATTGCTATTCGATAAATCATTTGATCCATATCAAATAAATATCATTTGTGTATACTATTGGTTAAATGACAAATTATGTAATTGATGTAATGCGTGTTTACCCAATGAAATTTACATAAATAGAAAATAACACGTTTTTTTTTCATGACCTTATAGTTGATTTATGAATAAACTAAAGTGAATAAGGTGGTCAAAATAAAAATTAGTTCATATAATTAACTGATGAATATTAACTGATTTATTATCGAAGGAAAGAACCGTTGCTTAATTGTTTGACTTAGATAAAGAAATCAGGATATTAGTTACTTACAAAATATTTGACCTAAATATTTAGTTAACAGGTAAAGTACTAATATTCAAATAGTCAATAAAACTAATATGAAATAATTATGAATTGAACAGCTTATCTATGTTCTAATCAAAAACAGTCAGTGAATGAAACAATTTTCCAATATTTCTTGAATAGATTAATAGAAATATATTGAATAGTTGAAATCATGAGTCAATTGAAGCTAGTCTACCATGGAAAACCTAGAATCACTGGACAGCCATTTCGTCCTAGTATGGGACTTCTCAGCAGCGCGCATCAATGATCTTGATCTTAGATATTTTAAAATTGTGAATATAGTACGGGCTAATCAGTAAAACAAAATACTATGTTACTTTATTTATTTATTTATTTTAACACATAGATATCGGTACAAGAGACACCAAATACATATGCGCCACACAAATCTCATTCCATATGTGTGAGGGCTGTGATACTGCCCGGGTGCCCAAACCGAAGCAGGTGGTTTTCTTAGGAAGCCACACCCCGAGCCTTCGACTGAAGGTCTGATCCACAAGGCAGTGGAGCATCGTAAGGAGATGCAGTCCCACGAAAGCCGGTGACCAACAACTGGTTCATACGCCATTTGTTCCCGCAGGATACTGGAGCCCATGTGCATCATTGGTTTGTGATCCGGTTAAAGCGCCGGACATTCGCTTTCGTCCTTTCATTTTCGTAAACAACACCCCCGCCACGAGAATGCAGTGAGTAGGAATTCCCTGGCAGAGGCTATGTACGCGTGGCCATGTGAGAGCATTTCGAGAGGGAGAGCGGACTCTTCCCACTCTCGTCCGTACCAGGGCATTTGGGGGCTCAGTATAGTATGGTTCGTAAATTTTATTTACATTTATTACTCCCATAAAGAAATTTGTAAAAACGTAACAAGTAAAGTGTTAGGATTAAAAGTTGGTTTAAACGTTGATCGCTAAAAAAACGTATTCAAATATAATTTTTACACATAATGTCTCCCATATACTTGACGACCGATTTCTGTCAAACTATTTATTCACATTTTGACGAATGTTCAAATAAAACATTATTTGAGTTTCAAAATTCCCAACAGATCAAGAATTACTAGCGTTGATCAGCTTTATACACCGGACTACTGACTACCAACTTTCGGTTCGATATCAATTTCTATCATCTCCCATTTAGTCAGACAGATATTATAACTAGTCTTCAACGACACAACAACAACAACAACTAAAACCTGACTCATTATCGACTATTTAGACTAACTTGATTTCATAAATGAATAAAAAGTACCCAAAATAAATTCTATAATCTGTCATAGGGTCTATAAACGTTAGTTAAAATATAAAAGATACATTTATGGAGATTTGATTACGACCTAATCTTATTAATAATAAAGTTATTTCAGTTAGTTTATAATGACTGATTGTTTAATAATTTTTTTAATAGTCAATGAAATATTCATTAATTTGTCAATACCATTTTTTTTTCTTAAATTATTCAGAAAAACACCAAAAAAAATGTTGTAACTACGTGATCTTAAGAGTTGGATAATTTTGAAAAAAACTAAAAAATACTTGATTCAGTTTGACATAACATTGTAATCAACTAATGTGCATGTCAAAATATGCTTTCATTTAGAAGGAAATACAAAATGATTAATGATTAATCAGTTTAGTATTTGTCGTTAAGTATATCAATGAAGAAAACTTTTCTTATCATATTTAAAATACATTAGTAGTAAAATATCAAATTAGTAATGAATATGATAAAGGAGTTTGATATAAAGCAATAGTAAAATTAGTTTATATATATATTCGACTAGATTCATTATTCTGTTGAACTGCAAATTAATTACAACGATAATAAGTCACTATGCTGATAATAGCCGTATTAGTTTATAATATTGAATTCATAAAGTAGACTTAAAATGAATTTTCAAACTCACTTTATATTGTTAATATTGGTTGTGTAGCGAACAGAACACGAGTGGGGACAATCAAATGTATTTAACACAAAATTCCAGGACTTCTTATACAATCTAACAATCATCAAGTAAATGATTAATTTGCAAAATATCCACCAATTGTCTCAAAATGACTCAGACTTCATTGTTCTTGCATTTTCGTAAAAATTGTGTCTTGTTTCCATCTTTACTGTTCGATACTCTTGTCTCTCTGCTGCCAGACCTTCTGTTCACGACTAACATCATATACTACTTATGTCAATATAAGTAGCACACACACAGTCATAGTAACAAATTTATTAATATGGTCCGGGCAGGTTTGTGGAGACCGTTTGATGTCATTTAGATCATGAAGTGACTTAAATTAGTCAACCATTGGAATTAAAAAAGCAAAAGACAGTTGTTTTGTGTTAGTATGAGACATGAA